TGCGAGTGACACAGTAGCGGGTTTCCGCGGGCGACAAGACCCGGCTACCATACGCAACGACGCGCTCTACGCCTCCTTTAGACTGAGACAACACCGCGCCAATACCTGTGTCGCTCGCATCCGTATCAAGAATGAACGGTTGATTGAAATCCGGATAATCCAATGTTGGGGCGGTAGCCAACAGATTACGCAGACTCTGAAAGGCCGCCTCTTCTGGCGGTCCCCACGCAAACTTATGTCCCTTACCCGTAAGGAGGTGCAAGGGCCTCGCGATGGTCGCAAAATTCGGTACAAATCTTCGATAATACGAGGCAAATCCCAGAAAGTGACGTACATCCCCCACGGTGGCCGGAGTTGGCCAATCTCGGACGCACGCCGTTTTTTCCGGGTCCGTAGACACCCCCTCAGCACTCACGATGTGCCCCAAATAACGGACGGACCGTTGCAGTAGGTGACATTTCTTTGGTTTAAATTTCAAGTTCGCGGAGCGCATCCTCGCGAACACCGTCTCCAGCCGCCTTAAATGTTCATCAAATGTGCGGCTGAAGACGATAATATCGTCCAAATATATGAGACATGTCTCCCACTGCAACCACGTCAAAACGAGCTCCATGAGCCTTTGAAATGTGGCAGGGGCCGCATTCAGCCCCATCGGAAGGCAGTTAAATTGAAATAACCCCTGCGGCGTACGGAATGCGGTCTTCTCCCGTGAGGGCTCGTCAAGGGGAAGCTGCCAAAATCCCGAAGAGAGGTCCAGTGTAGAGAAGAACTTAGCCCCCGACAATGCGTCGAGGGAGTCGTCCATACGCGGCAGGGGATACGCATCTGCCACCGATATCTTATTCAATTTTCGAAAGTCAACACAGAATCGCAATTTGCCATCCTTTTTCTTAACCAAAACCACAGGCGCGCCCCATGGGCTGTTTGACGGCGATATAATATCCGCAGCCAACATATCTTCCACTGCCCCCCGAACGTGTTCTCGCTCGGCGGGACTCATTCGGTGCGAATTCAACCGAATAGGGGCAGCGTCGCCTGTATCAATGTGATGGTGAAGCAACGAGGTGCGTCCCAAATCCAAATCATTGGAGCTGAACACATCGGAATACGTCAATAACAATTTGTGAAGCGCACCCCGTTGATCCACAGACGGAAGAATTTCCGTCACATAAGCTAGCAATCCAGCGGTCATCCGAAGCCACAGGCTCGGAAACACCAGCAACCACTCCCTGGCTATGCGAACAATCGTGAGCCGTAAATGCCGTGGTGGCATGTGCCACAACCGTGCCGGCCGGGACGCAAACATTTTCAGTACCCGCATTGAGCACCTGCAAAAATGGTAATTGATCTGGCCGGACGATGGTCTGCGCTCCAACCAGCGCCAACCCGGCCGTTATCGAGGCTGAAGGTGACAACAAGATCCCAACCGCTCCCAGCCGACCAGGCAGGGGCTTCCGATACCGCAGGGGAATAAGCATCTGTGAACCAGGTGGAATGTCAACAGATGCCACGGATAGCGCCTGCACTTGTACGGCCGAAGCAGGTCGCCCCCAGGGCGACGGCAGAAACGAAATTTGACGGCCACCCGGCAGTTCAATACAATTCTCATTAATTTTGATCAAAATAGGCATCTTAGCCAGAAAATCAGTGCCCAATAAACAAGGAACTGCCAAGGATCTTGAAATCAACACAACGCCCGAGGCCGACACATCCCCAATAGATATTTTAGCGTCCACCTGGCCCACGATGCCCATACTACCCCCGTTCGCAGCGACGCACGACCCGTAAACCGGACGCACGGCCCCGGGTGGGATGCCTAACAGATGAAAAATGACATCCGAAATAATAGTCGCGGACGCCCCGGAATCGACCAAAATGCGCACGTCCACCCCTTGTATAGACCCCAGCACGGTGGACGAACCCGTAGCGGCCGCGACAACCCTCCGTGCCAATTTGCGCCACTGCGTCACAGAGCGACAAGGCCCCGTCGAAGGTCTCTCTTTAACAACAACACTATGACCGCACAACGAAAGTGATGGGTGAGGTGTAAAGCCTTGCCGGGTGTCTGGTGCGTGCCGACTTGCCTGTTTCGGTGGATCCTTGGGCGGCTTGGCCGGTAATGAGGCCTCTTGTTGCGGCGGACCCGGGATGCGGGCCCAGCAGTCCTTTGCGTAGTGGCCCCTCCGTCCGCAGCGGAAACAATCGGCGTCGGTGCGCCGAAGCGCAGGCCTTGCATCGCGCCGGCCTCGTATCGGTGGTGCAGCACGAGAGGCCGGTCCACCGCGGCTTGACCATGGCCCCGAGGCGGCCGTCAGCTCCTGAGGCCCCCCCCCATCCGGCACGTATACCGACTTCGTAGGGTCCCATCCCAGAGCGCCACCCTCTGCAACGGGCCCCCCTGTCCACGCCGCAACTTGTTTCCACCGTCGTAGGTTGAATTGCGCATCGAGACATTTCGCCGCCGCCCGGGAGGTGAGCTTCTCATGCCCGCACACCGGCATGAGAATCCCAAGATCCCGCGACAGCTCGAGCATCTTGCCCAAGATGAGAGGCTCGAGCAGGTCAGGTGTTGTATCTGGATACGCGGCCATAGCCAAATCAAGCACCGCACCCCTGTACGCCACAGGCGACTCCTCGGGCGCTCGTTGTCGTTGAGCGAATCGCCGATGCGCGTCGTCAGGTGGCTCGTAGGCGTCGGCCATTTCTTGAAAAACTCCGTATAATGTCCTCTTCTTCTCGGCCTTAATGGAGCGAAAAAAACGAACAGATTCGTCGTCCAGAAGAGTCGGTAACACTTCTAAGGCCTCAGCATCGGTCCATCTCGCAGAACGGACCGCCGCCAAAAATCTGCAGGCGAAAGCGCTCCAGTCGCCCCCAATGGCGAATTCTTTGACCGTGGTGAGATGGCGACTCCGACTCCGCTTTACTCCGCCCTCCGCCGATGGTTCCTCCGGAGGCAAATTCAAAATGGCGTCGAACCGCGGCGTGGTCAAGATGGCGGTTTCCCGCCGCGGAACGCGCAAGATGGCGGCCTCCTGCCGCGTGGCCAATGGCGCCGGGAGTGAAGATACCGTGGCGGCCTGTGGAGCACTCTCCGCTCTCTCCGTCGCCGTCCTTGGGGTGACGAGATGACACAATTGGCCCAGGACATCCTTGAGAGTCTCCAGTTGCTCCGCCACCTGCAGCCATCGCAGATCAGCGTCTGATGTTGTCGGCGGCCCTGACACTGCGGCTACATCTTCAACTCCCGTCCCCGCACTCGTTTCAGCAGGGCACTCCTCCACCACCCCGGCAGGATCCATGTTTGGAGGGAAGTCTTCGTCTTCGGACGAAGAAGCCGATGCTGGCGCTGGAACATTTTTCTTTCTCACTTGTTTCGACATGCCGTTGCACTTCCGACACTAATGTAATAAAGGACTCGACCACGAAGTCTGGCTTGGTGTCCTTTATTCGGTCCTTCCTCGTAACCCACACGGCTGTCCTTTTATTAGACTTCTATACCGACACTGATACTGCTGTTAACTCCGTCACGCCAACAGTTCCTCTGTTGGTCTCCCGTCGTCGTTGTAGCCTTGCTGGCTGTTATCCTCACGCAGCCCCCACTGGCTGTTCTCTCTGCAGTTTCTCCTCTCGTCGCTCTCGTAGCCTCTGTCTCTCCTCTCGTCGCTCTCGTAGCCTTTCCCTCACACACAGCCTCGCCGGCTGTGTTCACTGCGGCTCCTCGACCGCCTTCTCTCCAGCAGCCCCACTGCTGTCTCCCTCTCTCAGCTCCGCTGGCTGTTCCTTTAGCTGGCCACCGCTGGCCGCCGTGCCACCCCTCCTGGCTTTGCCCACGTGGCCTTACTCTGGTCCAGTCTCACTCGTTCTGCCCTCCTCTTCCGGTCTCATCTCTTAAGAACCTTAACCTTGCTCCCACGTCACCTAACTCCACCTCTCCGTGACGTCACATCCGGGAGGTCGCCCGCGCCCGCATTACACATGTAAGGGCAAAACAAAAAAGGAAAAACCCGAGCAGTAACCACAGGTAGGCGCATGATTGTCCGCATGGTACGACGCGACCCCAGGTTTTTGAAGTCAGGGGAGTAAAAAGGGGAGCCCAGGGGCCATTCGAACAGTTGATCTTCAACATCTTGGCCGTCAAGACCCCTCTGCCATCCTGCCTTCTTCAGCCGCTCGCAGCATCTGTGTGATGCCAGCGAGTGCCACTACGAGGCAGTGTTAGGCAAGGCTTTTTTGTCCTCTTCTCTCTGCCTCTCACAGCGTCCGTGCAATGCCGTGAGTACAGCTACCGAGGTACGTGATAGAATGCTTGAGTGAGTGGGAGCATAGACACTAGTAGGCTAGGTTTTTCTCGAAAGATACACCCCCGGGTAGTGCCGACTGGGCAGCTTACTTTAAGGGATTGTGGTTTAAGCCGAGAATAAAAATTAGCACAGAGCATAGGTGGTGTGGTGTCTGCGATTTCTGTGTGGAGCGACTGCGTGTGCAAGTTGAGTCCTGGGTAGCGGTGGGGGAACATGCGGCGAGAGTGAGCGCGGGGTGGTGATCGCAGGATCGCTACCATGTTTGCGCAAGTGAGGTAATCGCGCAGGTGTGAGTGCACTCACAGCCTTCTATTGTTAGTGTGGCTGCCGGTGTGCGCGGGGGTGCATGTTAAGAGTTAATCTCTCGCAGGTGGAAGCGTAATTTTTTTAAGAAATAAGGGTGGCTGCTGAGACATGGGGGTGGAGAACTTTGCAGAGGTACAAAGAAAAGGCAAGGCCATGGATTAATTTAAATTCAAGGACTATTATCTTGTAGTCAACATGCTTGTGGATATGAACCCAGTGAAGTTAAGCCAGGACTTGGGTTATGGGAGGGGATAGAGTTCTAGAAAGGACCCAAACTGAAGCACTGTTTAAATGTATAAAACTGCAGTTTCTGTAACTTACTGTTAACACATACACACAGTTATACCAATTTGTGACAGTCTAAATATCCATTCCATTTGTGACACTCACGTTGAGGCTCACGGTCACCGATGTAGAGGGGAGCATCCACATGACACCACACACACGCTCCTCATCCTCCGGTCGCGTGATGTTGCACCACAGAGTGACATCACCTCGCTCATCAGCTGAGACATCTCTCTCTATAGACACAGACAGAGCTGAGACAGAGACAGAAACAGAACGGAAGAGAGAAATGTTATACATGTGCAGTGACATAGTGCCGATTGCTGTCCAGCAGCGGCAACTGCAGTGGACAGTTAGTGCCCACGCCGTCGAGCATATACACGGGTGTACTGGCAGGGCAAAGGAACTGGGGAAGGGGTCACGGAAGACCTCATCGGGAAGCCCCTGGAACCCACTAGTGGGTTCCAGAAGGGAGGTGTGGCCAGGGCGGAGCCAGGTCGCGCCGAGTAGAATAAAAGCAGCGGAGAGCGAGAGCTCCGGGCTGCCGATTCTGGGAGTAGACTCGTCTTGCTGTCGTCTTCGCCGCCTTCGTCGTTGCTGCCTTCACTCGATAATTGTGCGGCCGGACACTTGTTGGCTGTCTCGGTCGACGCCATCGGTGCAACGCTGTTAGGGTTGTGTCTAGGCCGGGCTGTATGGCAACGTGAGCGAGAAAGGAGGCGATCCTGTGTGTGAATGGCCGGAAAGGTGTTACAATAAAAGGTGCCTCCTGAAACTACCTCGTCTCTGACTTGTGCTACACTACACATGCAAGAGCAACAGACGTTATATGTATATAATATTATTCATGCCGAATGCATTTCAAAACGTTGTATAATGTATATGCGAATGATCTTTGATACAGATAGATATAGAGAAAGACACAAAACATAGAGCTAGAGATAGACAGGCAACATGGATACATAGAGAAGACAAAGGCACCAGCACATAAATACAGCGAAAGAGAGACTTAGAAAGGAATAATATTCGATGAAAACACCCTCTTCTGTTCATGTGCTGAAATGCATGGGGGAGTAAGGTTCAGTGCAAGATTCCCGTGATGCAGCCAAAACTGAACGTTTTAGAAAAAGCCAAACATTCACTTTGATTGAATATTCAGTGCATCTGTAAATCTGAGCGTGTACCTTTGTAGAGCTTAACTTGAAGGTGTGTTTTAATATTGCTATTGCTTTTGTTGCTCATCACTACACAGCGGTAGTCTCCATCCTGTGTTGTGTTTGCATTCCGGGCGACAAACACCGCAAAGTTCATTTCAATAGCGGTGAACTCAAAGGACAAGTTGGTTGATTTAGCACTTGGATCACTGCTGAAGTAGTTGCCAACCTGGTGCGGTAGTTGGAAGGGTTGGGGAGAGACAAGAGAGACACCATTACCTTTTAGGCTTTTAAATAACAGGGGCACAATTCAGCAAACGCAGCCTCGCCTGAGCTCACTGATGATGGGACTGTGTCCAGATCTTTGAAGGATATATAATCTCACAATCAAAGCTGATCATTATAACCAAGATGTTTTTACTGAAAAGATTCATCAAAAGCATATCTCCCCAGTGCTCATTTGTATTAGTTGCACGGGATCCAATTAGAATCATGTAAACGTATGAGATCAGGTTATTGCAAAGTCTGGCAAACTGCTATCGTAGAATGGTATAGCTAACTCATAGCGTCATGAAAAATGATACCACAGCAAACCTAGTTGCTATGCACATGCAGCACTCACGCTACTCACAAACAGGAACACAGAGCAACAGGTGAAGAGAGACCCACTATGGTTGCTGCAGCTGCTGGAGGTAGCTGCATTAGTTGCACGAGTATCCAATCTTGGAGGCCCGTGGTTGGAGGCAGTGGGCATCTGACTAACAGATCTTCCCCCTCAACCCCGCACACGTTATACTCCTTGGAGCAATTAGAAAGCTCCTTCTCACACATGGTCTTCATCTTCTCATCATCAGCAGCAATGACTCCTGCAGCAGCAGAGTAGAAGGCGAGTGATGAAACATGGGGCACGATCAGCCATCATCAGCCAGCATCCTGCCACCTTTTTTGTGGCATCACAGCAACAGAAACATTATTTGATTAAATTTATCCAAACCTATTATGATGAACCCATCTTCTGCGTGCTTCTATCCCGCGCACTGTTGGCCGCCACACTGTTTCCGCCAGCAGAAATGTAGCACTCAGCAAGTGGGGGGGGGGGGGGGGGTCGACCACGAAGTGCTGGTATGTGAGGCAGCAGTACTCTCTGTGTTACGGTGTGGAACACAGAGCAAGGGCCGTATTATCCAATACGCAGAGTAGGCAGTAGGCACTCAGCCTAGGGCCTACTCAAACCTAAATGACCTACGAAAAAATGTACCATGTTTTTTTTTGTATGATGAAAAGAAATGTAACCAAGATATCTCTTGAATAAATATATTTATATATCAAGGATAGGTACCATGTATATATAAAGAGGAGAGTCATGTCAATGACAATTTTTTTTTCATAAGGTGAAATAAATTAACACCAAAGATGAACTTTGAGATTTCTAATTACAAAATTAACAATAACATCTTCAAATTGTGTTTTTCGCACAATAAAGGGAGTTACAGCGGCAGTAGTAGTGACATGGGGCAGCAGTACCAACTGTAGAAAGTTATCACTGAAGGCCTACAAAAAGAAGTGCCTAGGGACTACAAGAACCTTAATCCGGCCCTGCACAAAGCCAGACCCGAACTCAGCTGCTTGAAGAGAAGTTGCTATCATTTGAGTGCAGGTGTCTGAGATGGAGGCCTTGAACATTGTGGAAAGACAGGAGGCGATGCAGAAGTCCAGGACAGAAAGTGGGAGGCATGTTTTGCAGATGAGATCAGGTTAAATAAAGGACATCACTAGAGTTATTGCATCTCTATTGGCTCTCACCTTGTTAAATAAAGTCCACCAGTTACAAAAGACTGCTAATCTCAATTGACTCAGGAGGTTAATTAAAGGGCATTAGTCACACGACAATGAATCTCAAAAACACATGCTAGACAGCAGCACACAAATACACAAAAACAATACAAAGATCCTACGTGTACCAAACAACAGACAGTTGGAGCAAGTGCTGTTCGCGAGCACTTATGACGGCCGGCACAGCACACGATGGAGTGAGTGGTCAAAACCATGCCCGGTCGCCTTTGTCTCTCCAGTGGCGATGTTTACTACACACCACACCAGGTACTCATTTGAGGGCGAGTCGACCAAATAATAACAACAAAAATACCCGCCATTTTTCATTAAGTGGCGGTGGCGTCACCACGTCTCCTGTGCCAGGCCAGGTGCATTTTGAGGCAACGTGAAGTGTCGAAGGTTCGTGGCAGGAGGTCACAGAACAGACCCAGCAGGTGCGATGGGTTGACTGGCTGAACTGACTGTTAGATGCACCACCTGTGCCCCCTACTGTGGCAACTTTCTGTGTTTTATACGCCCGGCGCTCCGCTCATTTTTGTGAGCATCGCTCCTCTGCCCTCCGTTGTTGCTGGAGGTCGACTGTTTCCAGCTTCCCATCAGTTTCTTTTACGAGCCTCCTCCACCGAGGCCAATCTTGACATTTCTGGTACCAGTCATCAGAAAGACCAATCAGCCCTACATCCTTCTCTAGTCCGTACCACGCCCGTTTAGCCCCTTCTACCCGGCCAAACAGAAGCTGCATGGGCATGCGGTGGCTGGGCATGCGGGCTACATGACCCAGCCAACACATCCTTTCCTGTCGGAGGAGCTCACTGATGAGACTTTGTCCAGATCTTTCAAGGATTTAGATGCACACATAATCCAGTCTGGTTAAACCATGACTTATCGTCGGCAGACTAGCCTGAATGTTTCAAATCGGTGCAGACGTTTAAACACTCGGACACATGCACATATCTCTGTGTAATCGCCACCTATAACAACACAAACTGAGGCATAGCGTGAGATAGATATATTTTTACCTGAAATCACCAGGGCGATGATGATGATGATTGCTGGCACAGAGGTCGTTAAATCCACGGCCATCGCAGCTGTTCCGTCACCGATTAAAACGAGACGACGCTTCCTCTGGCTTGTAATCTTAATCGGTAGCAATTCTCCACACGTGGAGGCGAGCCGTGGAACTCCAATGCGGATCGATTGCTACAGAAATATAAGCCACCACCAGCAGCAGTGATGATTATCGGTTCGTTAAACAAATTGGCGTCCCCTGAATGCGCCCTTCCAGTGTAACTGATGATAATCCCCAATGTTGTGACGCAGGGGGTGCTGTCTGAAGTTTGCGAGCTCCTATTATGTGGAGCGACGCTCCCGTCTGTGAACTCCTCTGCGAGTCTCAGCTCCACTCCGTGACCACGATGGGGAACTCGGACTCACTGCTCGCTACATGCGCTCAGGAAATTGCGGAATTGCAACATCTGTTCGGCAGCTCCCGTAGATCCGCTCGGCCTGAATTTCTTATCACGCGGTGCGCTGATGATGGCGTGAGTTGTGAGCACCGTTCTAATGCAATGGGAGTGACATAAAGGTGGTTGGTCGTGTGTGGTGATGGCTACGCCACTACTCCCAACACACACATAGACTTGTTTTTTCTAAACTAACGTCAAGAGGTTATCGCTAACTGGGCCTGTAATTAATGCAAATGAAAGCACGTACAACTAATATACAGGAGAGGAACTACCGTTGAACATTGCAGTAATTGTAACAAAATGTACGCAATTTTAGGGTTGAGTCCACGTAGGGGAGAGTTAGTTTTAGAACACCCTGTGAATTACTGTGGTAACAATACTCACAGTATTTTTTTTTACCTGGTTAGGCCCACTGAGCTATATCGCTCTTTTTCAAAAGCAACCTGGCCACAAATAATAGCTAAACGAAGTGGCTTATCATACAGCTGCCAAATACTCTAAACACATGTTTCTACGTGTGGAGGGAAACGCCGGAAGACACGGGGAAAAATCCACTTGACCATTGGGAGAACGTGCAAACTCCAGATATATAGGCGTCAAAGTCGGGAACGGATCAATGAACTCCTGCATACCAAGTGAGGTAGTTAACATCTCCTAGCCAGCGAGATGGACAACTCAAAATATTCCTCCTGTAGTCTTACACGTAGCGGATATGAAAGTGGAGGTGGTCACGATAGCGGGTGCATAGGGAGTAGGTAAAGGTAGGAGAGGGAAGAGAATGGGCAATGAATTTATCCAGGACAGAGCACGTTAGGCTGTCCTCGAGATACGAACGTCCAACTTATGAACATCCGCACTTGTTATTAAATTCACCATCCGACTTGCAAATATCCGATCGCACTTACGAACCGAATCGCGGAACTTTTTTCTTCGACGGAGCGATCTTCTGCGAGATGTAATCCCGCTTGAAACGCCCCTTCCGACAAGCAAGCCAGCATCAGGACACATGGTAAGTGAAAATAAACAGATATTTCTCTTTTCACGTTATATAATTTAAGTTGATTTACTATACAGATTTTAATACGCATATTTGTTATTATGAGTTTAATTCGGATTCCCTTTTCTGTTGAACCAGGACACATCCAAAACACTGCCCGTATGTACAATTGAATATTGAGTTTCAAGATACGAGCAAATCGACTTATGGACGGTCGAAGCAACGTAACCCGTTCGTAAGCCGAGGACCACCGCATGACGAAACAATGTTCTATGGGATCGCGCTAAGCCAGGTCTGCCTGCATTTTTTTAAAGGCTCCTAAACTAAAGCGCGTGTACACAAAGTATTATTTTCTAATATAACTTTCAAACCGTGCAATTAAAGCAATAATACTAATCAAATACCATACACAGTTGTGACACTATGTTCTTAATCTTTATCTGTAGATGCCAGGCTGAGCAGGAACCATTTTGAGTTTTATTTTTAAACTGTGGATGGTCAGTCTGTTCCTGAGTTCATGAGGATGGGGAAATCCATGGGGTAGGAGCAGTGCAAGCAAAATAACGGTCTCCAGAAGTTTGTAATTACACCCTGGGGATCTACAGATATCCCTGCTCACAGGAACAAACTTCCCACAATGCTATGTGTTAGTAACATTTTACAATTTTTATTGTTAAGTCAATGTTATTGACAAATGTGTTGTTTTTTTGTAAGTTGTGATTGTCAACTGTCAACGCAATAACATCAACTGTCTACCTGAGTAGCCGATAGGAGTGAATTAGTTGATAATCCCACTAAGGTAAAATGGTAATCACAACTTCACCGTTATTGACTACGAGTAAATAAATTGATAATCCAACTAATGTAAAACGCTATGGGGACCTCATTTGCCAGTAAAAATATGATAATTGGTTCTTTACCCTTCTATTGCGGTCTATGCAAACATGACTCCTTGCAAAAAGGTGTCAGTTTTGTTGCCAGATAGAAGGGTAAAGAACCAATTATCATAATGTAAAACGGTCATCATAACTTCACCGTTATTGACCACGAGTGAATTACTTGATAATCCCACTACGTTATTGACCACGAAAAGATACGGCAGCTATGAAAGAGATGCCACCTCAAGTGGTACCGCCGAGTGAAATATCTGCACTGGACTCATGGACTAAGATGGTGGTGATGAGGCTGTGAGAGAAAAAACTCGTTTACTGGTGGTGAGGCATGGGGTCCGCACTATAAATAAAAAACTAATCCTGTAAGCTCAATTAATTAATAAAGTATGTGTGTACGTATACATATATATTTGGGTTAGTGGTTTCATTTGCAGCTGTGCTGGGAGTCACGATAAGAACCCACAAGCTCCCGTGCCGAGCCAGCAGCAATTTCCCCACACACACTTCACCAACTCCGCAGTACGCTCCAGCGTTGAGGGGATGACAAGCGAACTAAAAGAGCCTCCGGTTAAGTCCATCACCATAACTCACGTGGTGAAGTATGGCAAAATATCCCCCATGGTCCGCAAGGAGTGGCGAGGCTCTATTATAGCAGTGCGTTAACAAAATAGCTGTGCTTGTATTTGTAAAAAAATTGTCATTTAATCAGAATAATTTACAGCCGCTGCTGAATGGGGCAATATACTCTTCACTATACTTTCATATTTTGATTTAAACCAGGTACGGCCCACTGAGCTATATATATTTGTTTCAGAAGCGACGTGGCCATGAATGAGAAAGCTCAACTTAATGGCTTGTGTGGATAGTTATATCAGCATAATAATCGAAACCAGTGGTTCTTAACCTTTACTGCAGCCTTAACCCTTTCGTTCTCAATCGATAAAAATGTATAATGTTAATAAATACATTGGCTTGCTAAAACAAAGTAGCTGTACTGATGTGCCCGTGCTGAATTTTTCTTTTCGATTATTTACCTTCTTAAACAATCTGGCATGTCTCACACCCTCAGATAGGGCATCTCACACCCCAGGAGGTGCGTGCACCCCAGGTTAAGAACTATGGATCTAAACGCATGTTTTAAAATGGAGATGGAAAAGCCGGAAGATCCGGAGAAAAATCCACGCGACCACGAGGTGAACATGCAAACCCCAAATATACAGGCATCATGGTAGGGATCGAACGCACAACCTCCTGCTTACCAGGCGAGATAATTAATGTCTCGCCACCGCGGTGAGATGCGATTTCAGCAGCAACTATGAATCGTTTTCTAAATTGTGAGTCCAGCTGTTGTTGACAGAGAACTGTAAGCACGAATACCGCTCATGCAATCGGAGAACGCCCACAGTGGACATTCGTTCACAAAAGATACTCACAAACTCACGCATAGACTCACAACAAAGACCCATATGCTCACAAGAGACCAATTAACTCAGAAATAATTAGACTCACACAGAAACCCATAGCCTCACAGAGACCCACCGACGAGACACATATACTGGGGTAGAGACTATCCAGAGATCCATAGAATCACAAAGAACAACAAACTCACGCAGACACACACCACACACAATGTTTTCCACTGTTTGTTGCGGGGCATCAGAATCGCTTATTTTCCATTTGTGGAAAAGGTCGTGGCCAGCCTGCTGAATATCAAAGGTCACTAAACATTTAAACATAAGCCATTTCCGTGAGCAATCATTTGCGGTCAGGTCACGTTTGCAAAATAACTACTAGCTCAGTGGGCTCTACCTGGTAAAATATAGTGAAGATTTCGTTTATTTATTTGTAAGTGAATTGCTTACTTTTCTTATACTTTACACTCATATCGGTTTTTTTTTGCTGCTGTTTGTTGTTGTAACTCCCGTGCCACTACTGGACATTTGTGAAAGACAGTTTCACAACGTGTCGGATTGTTCCTCCAGTCTAAATATTCTGATTCTGTCAGGTTACCCACTTGCAGTGAGCTTCCTCGTGTCTCAATGGTGGTGGGACACACGACGAGGTGCTGATGGGGGATGATGTTTGCATTATCCCGGTCGTTCCTCTGACAGTCTTCGATTCTGACCGGCAGTGTTGAAGAGTGGCTCTCAATTTCAGGTGCGTTACCGTGGTGTACGTCAGGCTCGTTTGTGTGGATCAATTTCGGTGTGCTAGTTAAGATTCTCATCACCGATTTCCAATGGACATTCTCACTTGTTGTCATAAAGATTTTTTGGTTAGATGGTCTAAAGTAGTGAACTATTTGTCTTTTGTCAACGTGACACATTTTTTTCTGATTGGCCGTGTCGGGTTGTGGAGGGTTACGACACATTTATAAATAACGCGATCTAAACCCAAAAACGTTGATTATGAACAAATTAGCTGCACTAAAAAGCCAGCGAGTCAGACCGAGGGCTCGTCGTTTGTTGAGAGCTTAGTTAGCCATTGACAAATCAATAATTAAAAATACACCGCGGTTTTGTGAAACGTTAAAAAAATATGCCAAAGCTATCTTTTTTCATACACTAACGCATATATAAGAGACCCAATCCTTACTTAAAGATTAAGGAAACCCTCATTCATTGTTTCCATAGACCGTCTGTTTTTGGATCCACCGAAGTAGATAATGCTAACTTTGACATGAAAATTGTCGACAGCTCTTACGAGGTCTTGTTTTCCCCTCCCCATCGATGGGGTGTGGCCTATGTGCATTTTCTCCACCAAGTCCGAGACATGTCGTGGGTACTAGCCTATTTTTAAATCCTTTATATTAAGTTCGCTTGCTTGCTTACGACCGTGCAAATCTTTCGGTCGTTTTTTAACCCATTTCCCGTGATCCAATCGAGCTGACATTTTCCACACAGACTCGTTGTGCGTGACAATTAATGTTCGTGAAAAATTTTTTGCAAAATTTTACACTTTTTAGGGCAAAAATATTATATTTCATTAATAATTGCTTAATGGTGCAATGCAATCATCTGACCCATAGGTGGCAGCCATCTCAAGCCAGAGGACGAGAGGACTCTAGCCGCCACGCATATAAAGGATTTATAGTGAAAAACTTTGTTTTTACGGGTTAATTTTTTCCGAGTTAATCCCCCCCGCAGCCCCAGCTTTCCCAGCCTCCCACTTCCAACCCCGCCCACTC